GTATACTCTTGGAAGTCAACCTTCCTCTGTGCAAGGTGCCGTGTGACCCGTCACAACAACCGTGTAATAAATGTACACAATCCCATGAGAAATACTCTTTCCAACAAGATGTATTCGGCTCAAGATCCCTTTTCCTCTCGCAGAGAATGCCTGAACTGATATACTTCTTTACTTTGTACATCTTCGAATCTAGTAATCAATAAAAATCAGGCTGCCTCGATGTGGTGGCGAATGTGCCCTCTACATACATTACGATGAATTCCGTCCCGCATCGATGAGGTGGTATGTTATTTGACGGGTCAGATGCAGGACCCTCTGTCGAGCATTTAGATCTGATGCGCTTTGTTGTAGACGAAGCGACGTCTCAGCCATCCTCTATAGCTAAGATACTCTCTGCTCAAAGAGTAATTTGCTTTCAAGCGCTTCGATTATCTTGAGCCGATCGATACCTTGGAAGGCATCTAAAAAGTGTTTCATATCAGAATCGGCCGTACTTCGAGACACTCAGAGAGATTCCACCTGCCTCCACTACATCCAGCGTTCCTGCGAGACCTTTTCAGCGGGACTTCCTTCAAAAGATCTATTTAATGAACTAAATTTTGCCCGGTTTCTTTTTGCGCGGTTACGAGGCCTGCAGGCTCATCAAGGCTGTAGCCTATATCTGACAAACTAGAAGCATCGTCTGGCTTTAAGAGTTCTTAAAATGTATGATTAAACTTCTGCACTACTTATATAAACCGCTACAGCTTTCAATTTGAGGGATTCTTTACACTTGCGCTCCGTGAATCGAGACAGGGTTATACTGTCCAACGCTCATCCTAGTAGCGAGTTAAAGCCGGCCATCTTCACGCTTACAAACTGGCAGTAGCTGACCATCAGGTTCAGGGAGATGGGCGGAGCGGCTTACAAAAGAACTTGATGCGATGAACGTTTACTTCGGCGGCTCTGAACTTCTCAAGCCAAGCATGCATTTAACGAGCTTCTTGTCTGAGGTCTGTCTTCTCTGAAGCTGCTTTGCAATGCTGCAAGCCAATATTGATTTGTTCTACATAGTGCAGAGTAACAAGTCTACAACAACTGCAAGACAACATGCGAACATCGCATTCTATCGTGTCTACCAATTCAAAATAATCTCCGTTTATGTAGCCTAATCGTACAACAGTCATCAATAAATTTCTAATTGCAACGGCCTCGAAAAAAATCATGTTGTACACACGTCTGACTTCGAGTCGTTCCTTGCGCGCCCTGCGCTTTCGATGAAAAAGAGCTTTGGTCGACAAAAAATCAAGACCTGACCAGCAGATTTCGATTCCGTTGATTAGATACGTCGTATTGCCCACAAGAGAAGAGGAGATAAAGAAGAGAAATCAGACTCACACGCGTTAGATCTGCTGACTGTAAATTTTACGCTGGGCGGTACTAGTGAAGAGGTCGAGAGAGTTTATTCGACGATATTTGTATCGCCTAAATAAATTTGACATCCTTGATATGCCTTTTGCTGATAACTATATTCCTTTAGCGCATCGTTTGACGTCGTTGGAGCGGCTTTTATTCATCAAAGCAACATCATCGTCCTATTCGCGTGTTTGTCGTCTTTGATATCATCAGGACCGTAAATCGCATATTTTCATATAAAAGGAAAATAAAGGGACCGTGATTCATATAATGGAAAGTTCAACTGGCAGGCGGAAACAGCAAGAAAAAAACTATACAAGTGGAGTTAAATGCCGACGATATTAAGAGCTTGTCTTGGAAGATGGGCATACGATGATGTTGTATGTATATCTACGCGGGAATTGTATTGTAGTGGACAAATCCGTTAAGTTGATCTGGAGACGGAATTACAGCCACGGGATGGTACAATTATAAAATCTACAAAGAATTTGAATTAACTGCCATCGAAAAGTAGCAATGATGATACTTACATTGTTAAATTGTTCATTGCGCAGCATTCATGAAGAACGAGGCCGTCAAGAAAAAGCTAATATGCTCATTAAGGCGACTTCGTGAAGCTGCGCTTGTGTCGATTGATTGATCAAGGTGGTCAACATAAGTAAGTCTTCTTTTTGTTAAGAAGAAGCATCAGATAAACATCGATCGTTTTTGAAGCCATTAGCAGTATGATTGGTGTCATTAAGTCGATCCGCAAAGCACAATACTCATTACTAATACAAAGCACAAATCGTCATGGGTGTTGTTGGAACCGGCGTACGTTTGTAACATGTAAGAATTTTATCATAGTTTTGAGACTTTCGAAAGCTTTTCAAAATTGTCAAACCTCTGATGATGAAGGTGGTAGACAAAGTTTACAATGACAGGATGCTGGATGATACGAACGTATGAATTGCAAAAGGTACGACACTGTGGATTGATGAATTTACTTACATGTGAACAAACGATTAAGGATATATGGTTATCTTTTTGATCAAAGCAGAATGTCTTTGTACTCAAGTACTCCATATATATACTCGTTATATTTTTTGACAGCATAAAACTTTCATTGATAAGGAGAACCTTTGGGCAATGTAAAGTATCGTTTCATGATAACAGCTTGATATTCTTTTTACTCATACAAGACCCCGAAATGTGGGTAACTTCTTTGGACCGACTGTGATGATCACAACATAAGTTCCTTTGGAAAAGATGGTACCAAAATTCATGAACACGGCTTACTTAATGAGAAAAAGAAAAGCAACATTATTTTGGCGCATGATGCACAACGGAATAAAGCCGGTCTTGCTTGCAAGTTGTGCGGGCCGATCAGTTGTTTGCAAGTTATGTACTAGCTTATCGTTCATGCTAAATACTTCTTTGTGTATTTGTGTCATTACTTGTGCATATTTGGAATGTCTGAAAGGCGATATATCTTCAAGTCAACGTCTCCTGACAAACTGTAATTGTAAACGTATGATGAAATGAATGATATATCTTGTCGATTTGAAGTTTGATTATCGATTGTTCCCATTAATTTACGATCAGCACCTACTGCGAGGTAGTTAAACGACGTAACTTCGGGCGAGGTCGTGTCGTAACGTGCCGCAAACGAACAGGGATGGTCCGTCGGCTGGATTTCGCTCACAGACCGAAGAATCAAGCAATTCAATGGATTTGTAATGAACTGCGACGTCTTAGAAAGCTAAGTTGGAGGCAGACTAAGCAATTGACCAGAGTACATCATCTTAGTACGATACAATAGCTCTTTTCAATGGGGATCCAATTCACGTTTGCGAAGCTGCGCCAATAAAAAAGGGAGTGATTGTAGCTAACTATAAGATCACCTTAAGTGTCATTGAAACTGTGCAGTGTTATCTGTATTCACGCAAATTGGTTCGACGGATAAGCCTTGGAATCTGTATATATAATGAGGCTACAAAAGAGTTAAACTGTGAAGACTCCATTGATATATTGAACAATTGAAGCGATTTTGATCGGGTTTCTCATTAATGCTTTATATGATTTAGCCTGAACTTTCATTTTAATGCTCGTCACTGCAAAATTCCTCACAGCAGTCCTCGCTGAAGCCTTCCCCAAGCCTATGGCACGAGTCATAATACTTCCCGCCCTCGTGTTCGCATCCCTTCACGCAATTGATATCGACATAACGACTAGTGGAAGGACAGGCAAGGCAGATCATGATCGCAATCGTTTTGACGAGAAATTTGGGGGCATTATCGAGAGGTTCTTGTCCAAATGAAAAGTGAAAATTACCCTTCATAGATTCTGCCATCAGGCATCATCTGACATGATATATTCGTCACATGTCGCAAAGATTGAAGAAGATTCTAGAAAATAAACAGAACCCCTCCCGGCACAAAGACGGATTTGAATTGCTTTATGAAGATGAAGGTAAAAGCAAGCCGATTGCGCTGTGTACCAGCAGAAACTATAATTATGTGAACTGAAGCTACAAATCATTCCATTGAAAAATTTGCGCTTGTCAAGAACTGCTCTTGATGTTCGCCTCGACATTCCATATGGTTACAAGTTGCTGTTACAATCGAGAATTTGGCGTTTGAAAAAGCCTGTCGGGTCTATTTATTCCAATTCAAAAGGGTTGAGATGAGGGTCCTCCAAGTGCACTTGTTTGGAATGCACAGCTGGTAAGCATAGGATCAGCTAAATGATAGCACCGTCTGATGCTTTGATTATGGCAGGCGTAACATGCTTTCTTCAATTTGTGTGCTAAATCGGATTGTACCGACAGAAGTTGTTGAACCAAGATGCAGTTATCATTTTCTCTTACTTGTGATAATTGCCGCTTAATTGCGCGGGTACCATACTGAAGAGTTGGAAAAGAAGTGCCCAGTGACAACAATGCAGCCATGACAAAAACATGGATTTGCCATGCTTTTTTATGCTTCTACGATATTGCTGATTCCGCTCCTGCAACCCATTTTCGACAAAACGACAGGTTGTGCTTCATCCAACCAGCCGTTAGTTCACATGTGACAAGATAAGCGAAAAGATAATTTTTTGGGATTTAATTTCGACTTCAACGGCGTCGTTCAAATCGTACAATATTATTGTTTTTCCACACCATATTTACCAATAAAATTGAATCTTTGTCTTCACTTTTGGTCTCCCGACCAGAAGGGAGACAAATAGTAATCTGCCGATCTTCCGATCCAAAGGCAAATTTATCTTTCAGATTCCAATCACCATATAAAATTCGACGTTTGTGCTTGCTCGGAACTTGTCTCTTCGTACCCTTTGAGTAGTCGTAAATGTAAACTTGGCCCCGGTTGGTACCAATGGCGAGCTTTATATCCGTCACAATTGCATGATAGGCACAATTTAGCATATAAATACAATACCTGAAATATATGTAATATTTTACCAGCAGCGAGCTTGGGGGTTTGGACCACTCGCAATCGTTCAAATCTTCACAATCGAGTGACTTTGATTAGACGTTTACATGATTTCACTATGGGAGATGGAGCAACCATGGCTTCTCAGCTCGATAATTTCAGCGAACTGGTAGTTGCGATGGAGGGTGTTGGGGATGGTATTTGCACTGATAGGCAGCTTGTGATCTTGCTCAGTTACTAGTCTGCCGAGCAGTCATGCGATGATTGTTGAGAACTCTAAGGAAATTTCACTTGACGAAGTGGAGGAAAAGCTCTTAAAAGAGCACGAAAAGATCGAAAATGCAGGAAAATTGGAGGAAAGCGCTTTCAAGGTGCGAATTTGTGGTCGTGGTGGTCGAAAGAATAAACAAGGTGGCGGTGGTCGCCAAGATCAGCATATTCTACAAGACATGAGACAAGGTAACCTTGGACAGCTACTATCAGCTCGAGGTTTCACCGGGCGTTGCCATGGCTGCACAAAGATTGATCATAAGAAGGTGGACTGTCCACCAAGTGCACGCAGTTGTAAGGAACTGTTTATGGCAGATATGGATGAAATATCAGACTGATTGCTAGATAGTGGTGCAACGTCGCACATGAGCCGTAAGCAAAAGAATTTCCATACACTTACAGAGAGTTGAAAGATAGCATTGGTGTTAAAATTGCTGATTGTGAATCACTTCATGCGATTAGTATAGGTTATACTCACATTCAATGCCCTCAAGGTCGCATAGTAAAGATGGTAGACGCACTCCACATTCCTGGATTATATCGTCGGCTACTCTCAGTTACAAAACTTACCCAGAAGGGTCTTACGCTGAGTTTTAATATGGAAGAGTGTACCATCTGGAGGAGAAGAAGTGACAGCGACCGTACCACAAGCAAACAATGTGTATCGTGTGAAGAATCAATAACATGCTGTGAGTGTGACTGACCATCAAGAACGACCAAGTGATTGAAAGTAATGTCATGCGAGATTAGGATACACACATCATGACAATATGAAACGTATAGATGATGCGAGTAATGGTATCCCTGGAGGACTCCAGCGTGATCAAAACCTATGTTGTTACGGGGTTACACGAACCCTGGTATCAGGGGTGTGTGTCACACGAGATGTGTATGGAGTGACCACTCACAAGCAAGAATACGGTATGTGACTAGGTAGCCAGTAGTTATGCCTGTATTTAGATTTTACTATATATTTTTAGTATATTTAGAAAAATCTAACAGGATCAAAAAGGAAATTAAAATCAGTTTGGAATTTAAACTGAAGAGTCGATTAGCCTTGGGAAGTCAGTAATTACTCTTGGAGTTAGCGGATTGCGATCCGCTAACTCATACTTGGTTCTTGTAAAGAACGTAAGGTCGGTGACTTAAAATACGCTTTCTCAGCGTTTTGCTACGGCAGCCCCGCTGCATATGTGGTGGATGCATGCTTGTATACTGTCACACCATTCCCAAAGCAAACAAATCATAGTATGATAAAAAACACACGGGTCATACAACTGGTGCACACAGATCTCCTGGGACCCATGAAAGTAACGTCTACCGGTGGAGCAAAGTATGTATTGCTCTTCACAGATGACTATTCGCGCTACATATGTGCATACTTCTTGAAGAGTAAGACGGAAGTGGCAAATCTTTTTTGTGAGTACAAAGCGAAGATGGGAAGGCAACTAGGTGTTTGAATCAAAACCGTTCGGTCCGACAATGGGACTGAATTCGACAACAAAAAGTTTGGCAAGATTTGTGTTGATGGTGGGATCATCCACCAACGCTCTGCACCATATAGCCCTCAACAAAATGGGCTTGCAGAACGAACAAACTGAAACGTTGTGGAGATGGCAAAAAGCATGATGCTGTTCAAGGCTATTAAAACTCGATGATGGGCTGATCCATTCAATACTGCTGTATACCTGTTGAATCGGATGACCAGCACCATGAGCACTGTTATTACACCATACGAGATTTGTTTTTGCTCTCGTCCAAACCTTGATCATATTCGTGTCTTTGGTTCTCGGGGGTACGCTCATATTGACAAGTCTCAACGAACAAAACTCGACGCGACATCATTTCGCTGCATGTTTCTGAGGTAGATGAAACATAACAAAAGTTACCGTGTGTTAAATCTCGATAATGGAAATGTAAAAACAAGCCGTTCAGTTGCTCTGGATGAACGTGGAGTATCCAGCATCTATCATGTGAAAATCACGAATAAGCCTCATGAGCATCTTTATATTCCAATTGATGAAAATATGGCACCTTGTGTTTCACAGCCAACACAAAGCGATGATGTGATCATTCATGACGAATTGGTTGATAACGACGAGAGAATGTCTTTGGCGGTTGATACCCATATTTCTACATCAAGCATTCATCTTGCGAGTCTACCACAAACTGAAATCACACATGACAGCACTTACTCAGGGAAGGACGCAACTGTATTCCATTCTCTTATTCATTGTCGCCAACCTAACCATAGTCAGCATCAAGTGCTGCGTGATGTGCCTCACACTCAACAGCGCCTCCAGATTGAGTCCGATGCCACTCCAGAAAGACGCATAGTTGCGTCCGAGCCAGTGGGAGAATACCGTCAGCACGATGACTCTGACCACATGGATGTGCGACCACCAAAGCGTTCACGGATAAATGATGATGATGGCATGGTAGCGTTCATGGCTGTTGTGCCAACATCATTTAGCGACGCAACCAATGAAGAGTGCAAAAATCATTGGGAGCAAACTATTCAGAATGAGATTGACTTATTAGTTCGCAACAACACATGGGATATTGTAGATTTCATATCTGGTATGTAAACGATTGGATCAAAGTGGGTTTTCGCGATAAAGAAGAACGAACATGGTGAGATTATTCCATACGAGGGATGACTCGTTGCGCAGGGATTTAGTCAAAGAATTGGTTTAAATTTCTTTGATACCTACGCACCAGTAGCAAACTCGAGCTTCATCCGCATAGTATAATCATACCAAGGTATATCGATTTTCCAATTTGATGTAGATACTGTTTTTCTTTATGAAATGCTCGATGAGTTGGTATACATCAGAGTGCCTGAGGGATTCAAATGGAAAGTACCCAAACTGAACCGTTCCCTCTACGGCATCAATCAAGCGGCTCATGTGTGGAACAAGACTATCAACGACGTCCTACTGAAAATTGGATTTAAACCTTCAGCGAGTGATTCAGGCATTTATGTTTAAAATCGACCTGAGTCTGTGATTTACATCTGTCTATTCGTTGATGATATGATAGCGGCCAAAACCATTGAAGAATGAAATCAAATCAAAAATCACTCAATGATTTCGTATCTAAGAATTGGTCGAGCAAAGTTGATCCTTGGAATGGAAATAAATTATGCAATACACAAGAAGACGCAAACCATATCATAAAGTCACTTCATTGAGGAAGTAGCTAAGCGTTTCATGTAATCAAATGCACTGCCAACCCAGAACTCATGTGACAGTGGAATGAAGTTTAGTCGAGATGACTCTCCAAAGACATCGGATGAGAAAGAAGCAATGGAGAAACGACCAATTCGTTCATTTATGAGAAGCAATGGAGAAACGACCAATTCGTTCATTTATGGGTTGTCTACTATACATTGCAATGGGTACTAGACCAGATGTATGCTATGCTGTGTCTCATGTCAGTCGTTTCCTGGATTGCGCTGGCCAGGCTCATTGGAAGGCTGCAATTCGTATACTGCGGTATTTGTATACAACTCGATCTATCATATTGACTTTCAGTGGGGGTGTTTCGAAACAATCTCTGGTTGCGTTTAGTGATGCAGACTGGGGAAGCAATGTAGATGTTCGACCATCAGGATCTGGTGTTTTGGTGATGCTTAATACTGGAACGGTTTCATTTTAGAGCAAAATATCAAAAGACGGTTGCATTGAGCTCAGCTGAAGCAGAATACATGGCTTCCAGCCGATGCACACAGAAAGCCACTTGTGCTCGAACGTTAATAAAAGAACTTGGTCACAAAAAGTCAAATCCCACGGTGATCTATATAGATAATCATGGGGCCATTGCCCTGGCACACAATGTTGGTTCCAATGCACATTCAAAGCATATTGATACCCGCCACCATTTTGTTCGTGAGCGCGACGCAAATGGTATAATTTAAATCAAATACATCTCAACAAACCGTCAACTTGCTGACATGATGACGAAGGCATTGGCAACAACTTGTTTCACTGAGCTACGTGCCTTTTGTGGTATTAAGCCCTTATCTGATACTAAGTCAAGCGTGAGTGGGAGTGTTACATAACCCGCAAGACACTATAATGAATACTGCATGGTGGTTGTTGTTGTTGCAGTTGCAGTTGATAATGACGTTGATGTTGCAACATCAACAACAAGCATGTGCATGTAATTTTTAGACTGGATGTAATTAGATCGATGAATCAGATGTAACAGTTTAATATATTCACTTTTAATTTTCTGCTTGAGCCCACACCTACACTAAAGTGTCAGAGAGCCTCTCAAACACTTTGTACTTTTGGCATTATTAGTTTCGAGAGTGATATGTATTTACTACCAAGAAACATTATGCTCACTTTAAGTATACATATTCATCAAAGAATATTTATCACGTAGGACAATTTATCTCTGTGTCGATGAAGCCGTAATGCAAATACATTTATACCAGGTGCGGCGCTCAACGCCGGAGCAACAATGCTCTCAAGTTCAAGTTCCAGCAAAAGCTTCTACTCATAAATGTAGCAATCATGATAAACCTTAGGATGTAAAGGTTTTCATGTTATTGTCGATCTTTGAAGTTATTCCATCGGGGATAATCACAAAGCAGATCAGGACATTATATCGCCGAATTGACACCGAAAGTATCACAGGAGGAAATCAGTAACGAAATTTTTTAAACATAGATAGGATCCGGACGGCTTCCATAAACATAAGCATGATATTTTGATCATACTTAGCTGTAAGTGTGTTGCGACATGGCGAGGTGGACATGCACCGCAAGTTGTTCCCTTTTCACAAATTTTGTCATGAAAATGGCCTGGAGCCGCATATCGCACCACACGACAATGGCCTTATCTCAAAAGCGCAAAACATGAGCACTAAACGAAACGAATTTGTTTATCGATACCGAATTTCTCTGTCTGATAGGGTAACGGCAGTTTATGCTACATTCGAGCTAAATGCATACATCATTCCCGTGCAATACCGATCCCAAAAAGGAATTTCTATAGAATAGAGAGTCAACTATGGCTTAATTATATCTTGTTCTTGAATAACAGACACATTTCACTCATTGCAAAGAGACTTTAGGTCGAATATCTGCAGTGGGTGTATATATCCCAGGGATCTTCGATGCACCAGTGACGCTCATTTGTCTGATTACGAAGCTACTTTGCCGTATCGAAATTTTTGTTTGGCCTATATACTCTTCAATTGTCGAAAAGATAGCGAGATGTCTGATACAAGATCCATATTAAGCGCTTGCAAGCTACATTGTAGTGTATGAGCTTGAATAAAAGCTGTTCGACAGCTTAAACATGAGTGTTTTTGGAGCTAACGAGATCCACTTTTTTTAGTGATCAAAAGAGATGTTCTACTAACAGCTTTTGCACGATCAAGGACATTGTGAGATAGCCCAAGCCTTTATTAGTATTAAGCTTATTGAAATGGCGCAATCATACCGACAGCTTGCACAACTTTGAAGCAAATTCCGCCGACATGGCACGATCTCATATAAATCTTCTAAATTCGGTAGCGAACGTTTTAGTGCATGATGATATGTTACACTTTCTTATAAGCACTTTGCTCATGATCATTAGAAATTAGCATTACTTGTCGTCTGGGATGCTTTCACCTGTGCCAGAAGCTGTGCTTCTTCACGCTGTTTCCAATGCGCTATTAATGGATTCAGCTTGAAGTGGAAGGAAAATGCAACTTAGTTCATGACAAAGATGTATTTGTAATAAAATATGCTCTTGTCGAGTTCACCGGAGACCCGCTTAGCTTAAGCTTCGAGATCTGTATATTTTATGCGTCTTTGCACATCGATGCCTTCACTAAATCTCTCAGAATGAACTTCAAGACAATGCATATTATTTGCGAGTGCGCCGTCAACGAAAGGTGTTAATCTGAATGGCAAAAATGTGATGGCTGACGTCGCCCCTTACAAAAAATTTTAGTGTATTATGACGATGAGGTCATGCATGGATGACGGTGTAACATCTGTTTCGATGCAAAAAACGCTAGGAAGCTAACTACCAAAAAAACGAATCCCGCTTTCTCAACGTATCTTGTTAAAAGCATAAAAAAATTCTGTTTGTCGGATAGGTTGCAGAATTACAGCATTGACCATCTTGACACTCAGCTCATGGTGGTTCCACATAATTAGGATCCCAAGTTCAAATGAGCCGGTGATGATGATATTTCCATGCCCCAGAAGTGAAAAATGTCAAGGCAAATAAATCGCTCATAATCATTAGCTGAACGGGCATTTCGGAGAGTCACTTATGTACGCAATACTTCGATGTGTCAACGTGGCAATTCATCGCTGCAAGCGTCGCCGTCAATGGCTAGTATGCTGGCATAGACGGAATTTGATAGACATTTGGATGGTAGTAAAGCACCTCTCAGTTTATTTATACTTAAATTTTTCAAATTTAAAAACATAACAGAAAAAATTAAAGCCGACAAGAGTTGATCTTTGTCTATCAATTGAGAAAACTGTGTGCAAAATCAGCTGCCCAAGCATCGCATGAAGATCTACTGTTGAAGGAACTTCTTTGCCATTCCGTCCCAAGTATTCTGTATTTGCAAAGCTCCATGGCCCTTTAAACTTTACTCGAATTTCGAGTGACGATGTAATATGAACTGGCTGGGCACGAATCATATCACCTCTAAATATCTGAAGTCCCGGTAATTCACGATATTCTGACGCACAGTTGAAAAAGGTAGTAGTATATGCGCATATTTATAACAATGTTTCGCTCTGCAACCATCTGTGATACTTATACATGTCAAATGAACTAGTGATTTCCTTTAGCAGAGATATAGATTTGGTCAAGCTTACCAAAGCTGTGCATTGGTTCCTCGTGTTAGATACTTGATCATAGTATGTAAAAACCATTTCGGGTCTCCCACAACACACAATCACGAAAGAAGACATTTCAATTTTCGGGAAGTATTCGGTGCTTCATCCATTAGTTAGTACCGTAGCAAAACTGGTTGTTAGAGTGGTGATGCATGGTATCACTGGGAACTGAGCCTGTCCGGAGACTATTTATGAAATCTTAGCGCCACCGATAAGTGCTTGTTTTTTAAAACAAGCACTTATCGGTGGCGCTAAAAAAGTCTTCAACTTGATATAGGCCACTATATCTCATCTTTCATGAGTTCTAGTCAGCGCCTCGATCTCACTCGATGCGCTCTGTCAGGGTTTGCGAGAAATTCGTACATTTGTCCGTTCAACACGTGCCATGACATTCCTATATCTATTGCTCATTATATCAAATTTACTACAAGCATGAAGATCAAAAGCACAAAGCACTGATGCTTCGAATATAGCATGGCCAACTTCATGGCAATTTTAATCCCTCCAGTTTAATGATTCTCTCCATCCCTGCCTTCAAAGGACTGAACGCTTACGATAGGCGGCCTTCGGATAGAAGCTGGTTTTGCTGAAACTATTGCTTCTTTGATGCGTTTACAATGGTAACTTCTGTGCCTATTCCAATAGGCGCTGAGCGCCCAATGCAGGCGATAAGTGTTTCCATCCCTCAGGCCGCCAAATTGGCCATTTCTCAATTAACCTGGCATGTATAAGCGTGTCTTGTTGCCTTTAAGACAGATAGTTGAATAAATCATGTGCATCATCACACCAGATATCGTCTCAAACCAACGTATTCTCCGAGTTGAAGTTAAACAAAACCACGTGGAACCTGGATACCGTGCACCCTGCAAAGAAAATAATGACTCTCCGAGTCCGCATTATCAAACCCACGGAGGATGTGGTATGACCGCTTCACAAAGAAACGAAGTTGAAAGCTTCATATGTATTTAGTACTCACTGCTCTATTTTTAAGAGTGATATATATCACTAAGGTAGTCTAAGGTAAGACTTACGATACCAAAGTTAAAGACGAAGCAACTTTCAAACTATCCTCTGCAGCAGGGATACTCTCTACCCAAAGAGCAATCTATATCCAACCGCTTTGATCTTTTTAACCTGCTGTGCAGATCAGAAAGTGCATCTAAGAGATGGTTCATATCAGTATCCGCCGCTCTCAGAAACACTCGAAGAGACCTGGTGCCACGATAGATAGCGCTCACAAGAGGCCTTTGTGGCGGATATATCTTCGCTAGATCTGCTTAATGAGGAAGGGTTGCCCCACTTTCATGTTGCGCAGATAGTAGGCTGGTTAGCTCATTTGGGTATTCGCCAATATCTGGCGAGATGATAAGCTTAAGGAGTTCCTGAATGAATAAGATCTCACTTCCACACAGCTTTTCTGAAACTGCTGGTTGAGGCACACCCTGTCGTTGCCTTTCATGAGAAGAGACAGGGTTGCACGGTGCATTGTGCATCCCGCTAGTGAGTGGAAGCCGGCATTTACGCGGTAGTGGGATGCCATTATTTGGCGGTAGCTAAAAATCAGGCTCAGGGAGATGAGCAGAGTTGATACAAAATAAAGCTGAGGTGGCGAACCTTTACTTTTCGCCTGTTTTTTTACTTGGCAAATCACGCGTTAGATATGATTAGGAGCGACACCCCTTTTTAGGGGTCGTGTAAGCCATGTCAAGCACGTGCTGTATGGTTTTATTCAATACACTCTAACTTCCTCTCTACCTGGCCCGGGGAGTGAACCCTGGACCTCGCGGTTCCGAAGTGAACAGCATACCACTGCACACGTTAGACGAGATAAAGTCTGGCGTGTGCTGACTATAAATTTACACTTAACGATAAAATTAAAGAGGTCGCGTACGTTTATTCGACGATCAGCCGTTAATAAAATCGCTTTAGTTTGTTTGACACTCTTTGCTCTTTGTGATTTTATTCTGTCAGTGCGTCGTTCTATGTCGTTGGGTCGGCTTAATTCACAAAGAAGGAATGAAGCGACACCAAAATCCAGTTTGAGGAACTACGTCTTTGATATTCATCAGTGTCAGAAATCGCAGTTTGTCTCAGAATGGAAGCGAAAGGCGCCGGGATGCTTAGCTTCTAAAATGTTAAGTTATGCTAGCATGTGGTGACAAGGCACAATGATACAAGAGCTGGTCGTTAGTTCACACGATGGTGTCGTGTATGTATCAACACGGAATTTATCATTGTGAAGGATTTCACAAATTTGATCTGGATACTGAGCTGCAATCAATCGGATAGTACAATCAAAGAAGTTGAAAAGGATTTGGGACAACGGCACTCAATATTACCAAAGACGATACTTACTTGGGCAATGAGAGGTTAATTTGTTGATTGCACAGCCTTTAATGGCGCAGTAGTCAATGAAGAACGTTGTTGTTTGTGAATGCAGAAGAGAAAGGCTTCATCAAGATAGTCGACATAATTTAGTCTTCTTTTTATTACGTAGTAGTACCAAATTAAGCTGGTCTGTTTTGGCGGTAAAATTGTTTACGTTGTTTCGATCCGCTATGACTCATACACAACAAGCGCTTCCACATATTGTGACGGCTGTTGGTGAAGTTTCGTATAGGAACTGGCTTACGTTTCAGAACTGGCAGTAGTGACGGTATACTGAAATCTAACGCACCAAAGGCATTGCAATATTTGCGGCAAACCGAGTCGTTTTCAGACTTTTGATATCATATTTTATGAGGCTTTGGTACAAACTTGCCAAAACTTCCAATAATGAAGATGGTGGACAAAGTTTACAATGACAGGATGCCAGATGACGCGGACGTGTGTCTTTTGAAAATTTTGACACTGCGGATTGAAAAAGCCCAGTAGCTTTGCTGAGAAGCTTTGCTCTATATATAACAAAATTTAATCAGAATGTCCTTACTCTTTACATAGGTTCTTTGACAACATATTTCCCGATATTTTTATGAGAAGAATTCCTTGAAGAGTATACACAACGTAAATTATCCTACTTTTGATATTAGATCTACACATAGAGGATGCATCATGATCGGCGCATGATGCACAACCGTCCCTGCTTGCAATGAGTGCGAGCCGATCGCCTGTGTACAGGGTGTTTTGTCTTACAGAACAATGCGAAAGTGCATTGCTATTTGAGGCAGCTCTACTCATAAATCTGTAACAGTAGTGCTAGATCAAGAAATTAAGTGGTAGCTTGTCCTTTATGCTTTTGTGCTTATTTGCGTAAAGGCTATAAATATTTATAAAATCGAGTTATGAAGATGATGAATTAAATAATTTATTGTTGCTGATGAAATAGTTGATTGAGCACTTTATCCTATTTTCATTAAAGTTATCGTATTGAATTTTTTAGTCGTAAAAATAAATTACAATACAAATAAAAAAAGTTGGACGTTGACCTATCAAATGAAGCAAAAGGCATAGTTTAAGAAAAGCGCGTAAGAGATGCAGTAATTGATGTTAGCGAAAAAAATCAACTTGGGTGGTGATTCGGTCGTGTTGAACTATGCGGTGTTATTCACTTAAATTGGTCCAATTGTGAACTAAATTTGAAATGTGGCTACAAACGCGTCAAATTGTGAAGGATTTATCGAAAAATAGAGCAATAAAAGCTCGTTTCTCATTATTGCTTAGCCCGAACCTGTCGACCAAGTCGCGCAAGTTACCTTGCAGCATCCCTCGAGGTATGACTTAGGTACCGTCGTGCACTCGTCGTAAAGCGGATTCGTTTTGGACATGCATTCGGACATGCATTCGGCATGGAGACGAGGGGCATGAGTAGCAAGGCAGATCATGACCATCATCATGTTAAAGAGATGTCTTGGAGGCATTGGTGACGAGTTCTTGTCCAAATGAAAAGTGTAAAAATGTATTCTACAGATTCTGCAATTAGGTATCATCTCACATGATTTATTCGTCACATGTCGCACAGATACAAAATCTGAAGAAGATTACGCGGTCCCGGCCGAACAAAAACTTTTGGCTCCTCAGTTGAAGGTGAAAGCCATGCCGATGTCGCAACTTAAAATCGAAGACTCGTGTTACTTGACGGAAGTAGAATTTACTATGATGTGAATTGGAGCTACAAGTCATAATATTATAAAATTTGCGCCTGGTGACATTCGACTTCTCGCTTTGTATGGCTACAAATTGCTTTTACAAGCTAAAATTTGGTCCTCAAATAGATTGAAAGTATGAGCTTAAGGTAACTGAGCTTGCTTTCAATGCACTGCTGCGTTAGCATGGGATTAGGATTAGTGTTTTAAGTGCTAGCACATCCCGACACCTTGAAGTTGGCAGGCGTAAGATGATTCTTCAATTTGCGTGATTGCAACAATCGAATAAATTTGAGTTGTACGTGATGGTGAATCCTTTCACCAGATCATTGTAATTTTTTATGGCTGTTCTCTTCCGCTTGAAATCAGCATCTTTCATTGATGCATTTATAAGTGCACTTTTTATTGTGGCTTATGAGTCCACGGGATCTCAGAGTGATCGAAAATTGTCTGGTGCTTCTTGTTAGCATAAAATTGAAACCCCCAGTTCTAAGTAGGTAAATCTTAGCTGTGTTGGTGAACAATCCTAAGCCTATTTATATGCAAGAAGTACAATATATAGTGTTGGCTCCATACTGAAGAAGAGAAAAACAAATGTCGGGTGAGAACAATCCATATGTCATACTTATACGATATTACTGATTCCGTGCCTACAACCCATTTTCGACAAAACGACAGGTCGTGCCAGCCGTTAGTACACAAAAAGCAACCTAGAAAACAATTAGTGGCATAATTTACCTCTAAGCGATCCGATCTGACAAATATCACACAACTCATTCTTCGATAAGTTGAGCAAAATAGAATATCTATATAATTGCATGAAATTTACATTAAACTTTTGTGTCATTGTGAATACTGATAAGTATTGAGATAGCGGTCCACACAGAAAGACAGTTTTATTTTGAGAGCTAAAATAAATATAGTATCAGTTTATATGTCACTATTGAAATAGTAAGCCAAATGTCGGCCTACGAATCCGACCACGATGCGTTTATTAACGCAACGCGAACTTTTAAGGTCGCGATTTTCACTGTGCAAAAAAAGCAAGGCAACCATGTCCCACTTAGCAAAAAGTGGTTGACAATCCCACGACCGAGTCGTGGATGGATTAAATCTCGGAGAGGTTGGAATAGGAGATGTTCGAGACAGTTAGATAAGTTATATCAGATTATGCTCGCCGATGACTCCGACGAGATAGGGGGACTGTAAACGGTCGCTGTTCAGAACAGGCCCTTAGAAACAACACGAACTCTCGTGTGACGAGGAAGCGATTTTTCGACACTAAGATAGAAAGACGGTCCCGAATTGGACTGAAGAAGGGGCCTTGAAGGCAAATTTGCAACTGAATCAAGACAAGTTAGTAATTACTAAAGATACATGAAAATCACCCCAAGGGCTTCTAGAACTTTAATTATTAAAGCCTTGGGGTCCTAAAAAGTTCATTCATATAATAACGGGTGTACTGAAGGTAAGCCTCAGCTTTAACTTATACAAGATCTTGGGTGTTCGGAACTTGAACTTCCAATCCCCGAGTAGGTGCCAGCATTCTGTATCTGCAGCGGGGCTGCCGTAGCTCTTTGCTCAAATGGAACTAACCTAAGATCACCGCCTTACATTCTTTACAAGGACCAGTGCGAGTGTAGCGGATCGCAATCCGCTACCTCATAGTACTCAAAACCTTAACCAAGGTAAAGACGCTCTTTCGTTCAAAAACCATTGTGTAATCACACAAGCTTGTGTAATCTCATCTATGTACGGTCACATCATCTTGTGTGACTCGCCCTTTCATACAAGGGTACGTGTAAGCCAGTTACCGTATCACATAGAATATCTGTGAGGTCATACATATGCATGTGAGAGCGCCAAATTGTAATTCCTTTGGTATAAACTCCCACATTGCACGCAGAAGGTACATCCATGTATCTTCATGTAATAGTTAGGTATAGCTTACGACAGAAACTAGAGGCCAAATGGACAAACTCGGAGATTGTTTGTCTGAAGGCTCCCATCATCTTTGGCAATGAATTAATCATTCAGTTCTGCAGACAATACTTCCAAGGATTATAGTTTATACCGGAATCATAGCTACATTGAGCTTACTCTAGGGATGCACAAACCACCGCTTGTTGTTGGCCCTTCTAATACATCAAGTCGGCATCAAAAGTGCAGACTCACTCCCCGCTGACCAAATCTGCTTTTTGATTTGCACAAAAGAAGCGAAGATAATGTTACACTCCTCCTCTAAAAAGGTCATTGTCGTGTGACGAATACAGGTCGACATCATGATACACTCAATGTAATATGCGTGTCACGGGGTTACACGAATCCTAATAACCAGGGGGGGGGTGACACAAGAGATGTGCATGATGTGACCACACACCCAAACCAGAATACGGTACGGGGCTAGGCAGCCAGTAGTTATGCATGTATCTAGATTTTACTATATATTTTTAGTATATTTAGGAAAATCTAAACTTTTAACATTAGGATAAAAATATAAATAAAATCAGTTTAAAATTTATACCAAATAATCGATTAGCCTTTGGAAGGCATCAATCACTTTTGGAGTAAGCGGATTGCGATCCGCTAGCTCATACTTGGTTCTTGTAAAGAGTGAAAGGTCGGTGACCTCAAGTACGCTTCCTCAAGCGTTTAGCTACGGCAGCCCCGCTGCAATACGCGGCAGGCATCTTGCTTCACCATTCTGCAACTAGTTTCAACAATGGACGAATGATGAGCTGTGCTCGTCCTCGTAAACCAAACGTACGAATTTGGCGCTCTCGCCAACAGCAAGAGTCACGTGTTTCTGAATTTAAAATAGTTTTAGAACAATTTTAGAACAGCTTAGCTTATTTTGGCGACGCAATCTTTCAGCGCTGAAACTATATTATCGGAATTAATAGAACAGATTTTTACATCAACTATTGTCTCATTGTTTAAGGAACTGAGTTACACCACCTTGTTGCTTAAGTACACCTGAAACTCCCAGAATCTACCGGCTCGAGTTAAG